CTCGAGACATTATTATTTTATCATCTTATACCTTTCTTTTATCAGTTCGGACTTTTAGAATTTATAATTGAATCAGAATTTACAATTAATATTTTATTAAGGTTTCAAAGTCACTCTGACATTAGCTGAGAGTCTAAAGTCTAAAGGCAAGACGCGCAATTTCGTGGTCGATGGGAAGATCTAGTCAAAGCCACTCCGGTGTTTGCCTAATTATTTCGTATCCCCTCCCATCTCAAAGAATCCGTCTGCCAACTTCCTGTCAACAAAATGAACGATTCCGTTTGAAAGTACGCCGTTTTCAGCACACCTGAGATCTTTTCGACGTTCATTTATGGTTCGCTGATATATTTGTTTATAAAAATTATCCTCACTTAATACTGATTTGCATGAATAATTTTCTAAGGCTTTTTTAATAACCTTGCATAAGATATAAAACAGCAATTATTTCTAGTATTATCGTTAAAAATAAAAATCTAAGAGATTCTAATTTAAATCTCTTAGAACAATTCAACGTGGAACTAAATTCATTTCATAAATTAATCTTTCAGCCCTTTTCGCTAGATTTTCATAGAAATCACAGAAATACATTAGATCATAGTATGAGCCTTAAATGGAGGATTCCGGGAGGTCACTTTTTCTCGCTCATAATTCTGGGACCGAAGGAGGGGACGAGAAAAACGAGAAGTCGAAGAAAACATTTCAGCTCGGATTACCAGCTCGATTATTCGCGTTCCTTTCTATCCACCCTTCCTTTTTTATCCTCAACGAACGGTGGGATTCGATCGGATAGTTTTTGGCAGGGGCGCCCATCCCTGTTGGGATTACGCGAGCGAGCTGCTCGTTGATTAAAACCACGAGAAAGAAGTGGAATTAAAGCTTTTCGTCGTGGTCCATCGTTTAATCTCCTCTTCGCGGCGTCGCTTTTTCGCTGTTCGACCAGCTACCACCACCGTCGGCCGGACTGGACTATTGCGGCACAGCTGCATCACTCGAGCGTTTCCGTTTCGTCGCCCTGACCGGTTTCCAGTGGCCAACAGTTTGCCTCTTCAGATTCGAACAAGTGCGAACGAAAACGTCGAAACTCGACGAGAAGCTTTCGAGGACTGGACAACTTTTAAATTGAAGCATCTCTTTTTTTCACGTTAATATACTCTCCTAGCGAAAAAGCTCCGAAATTGACGTTTGGCTTGGTGAATACTGGCTGATGTCTCATCGTCAGATGTTCCATATTAATTGTTTCTGTCGAATGGAAGCGTGGCATGTTTCGTACTTCTTATTTTCTTAATAGATTTTACCTAAATCATTTACGGGAGCAATCGTCCGTCGCTTGATCGTAACAAAGTCAATTCCAGGAGCATAGGAGGTCACGTCGTAACGAGACGAGCTAGCTACAAATTTCCGCACCGGGTCGGCCAATTTAAATATGTATGAGGAACACGCGGTGGGGAAAAAAAGAGAAGAGAAAAGAGGAACGACATCGACGGACAAGGCTAGGCGAGGCGAGGGGGTTGTTTCGCGGCCGACCTCGTTAACCCTTATAGAAGGGTGTCTCCGTCGAGGGGACGACGTAGGTAGACGAGCTGCAGGTGGCAGCGGACCGGCTCTCACGGATTATCGCGACGGGTAATCAGCTTTCGTCAGCGAGACACCAGCCACGTTCCCGTCCACGGGGATTTATTATTTAGGTCCACGGCCAAATTAGCAAATTAAACGCCCCGGTTAGGCTCACGGAGATCACCTCGAATAATTGAAATAAACCATTTTTCAATCTGGTACATTTTAATATATTAATAAAATATGATTTTTGAGTTTGTTTTTCGTCTTAACATTTCTACTCTCCAAATCATTATTATGATGAGCTAAAATAATTATTTTCTTATTATTAATAAATTTAAATATTTCATGTCTATCAATTTCAATAAGAATTAGTTATACACGATGTGTACATGTGATATGAATGTATTGACACATTCACATATGAATTCTCAATTCTCTTAACAGTATAATAACGATACCGTGTTAACATCTTAATTCGTTGGCAAATACATATAAAGAGTGTGATAAAAAACGAGGTTACTACTATCCGTAAAACCGAATGAGAGAATAATAGCGAGGAATCGAAATGGGAATTGTAAAAACTTCACCGAAGCACTGTTGCCGACGAATCGTCGCTATAAAACGATTCGCTCGTGAGCTTCGTCCGCTTTTATCAGCGGTGCTTTATCGTGACACGGTCAGGAAAAACGCCTGGATCGAATATACAGTGGGGACACAGAGGAAATTGACGTCGACATTCTCTGATCTCGTTTAGTTCGGTATCTGTCTGATGACACCGATAAATTGATACAAGATCGCATTGATAAACGATCGAATTGAACATTCAATCATTTTCACGAATCCGAGGCACCCTTAATAATTTACACTCTAGTCAATTCGATGAGATACAAATAAACGTCTTGCTGTGGTGAGGGAAATGAAACTGCATCATGACAATGATTTCAGTCTCTCGTTAAAAGGTATTTGTTTTTACGTTACTTTGTTATGTTACCTTTGCCTGTTTCAATTTCAGTTTCTTCCTTTCTGTGATTGCGTTTCCTTTATCTTACTGATTTCATTTTAGAAGTTCTAGTAATATTACGAGTTTTGTACTTGTTAGCACGGACAAAGTTCCCTAAAAGTCCCTGTATTTTGCATTTAATGTGTACGCTGATTTACATAACTATGTTTCATATGTATTCCATTAAGATCCCGAAAGAATGTTTAGTTAAATAACATTTAATACATTATTTAATTCATATTTGTTTCATGTATTTTGTGTTATTATTATATTAATCGATCAGTTTAAGAAACGACGTAGAAATCGTAACAATCGTACTTTCGGTAGTGAAAATAAGTTGAATTGACAGAAACAAAGGACGTGACTAAACGACTTGTGATTAACGCGTGCAGCGTGTTAGCAATTGCGGGTGGCAAACGATACTTTAACTTCTCTACTCTTGACGCAGATTCCGCTCGATTCTTACTAATCGGAAGTTACTCCTGGCAGCTGCGTGTTCGTTTTTTCCGGCGAGAGAAAAATGAGCTTGCGTCACGCCATGGAACCGTGAAAATACACGCACGTGGGTGTCCGAAAAACACGTAAATTCTCTTTGTCTTTGTGCTATTGTCGTTCGGATTGTCGAGCGGAATTACGGGGTCGTTGACACTTGAGGAAAATCTTTGGTACTCTAAACCCTTTAACAGATTACATTCAACCTAATAGAATATGCATCGCAATTTTTTTGATTGCACTTCATGCTTCATGATTGGTATTGAAAGGATTTGAAACACTAATTTATTCAAAAACTATAAGGAAACATATAGTAAAATACAAAGATACATTATTTCATTTATTTTCCATAAAACAAACGTAAAGACATTCAGTGCGTAACTGAAGAATAAATTGCCCTACACTGTTTCTGATCTCCCATTCATTTCTCTCGCATTACAGATTTTTCTTGAAATTGCTCGTAGAAGACGGTCGCGCTTTCTGCCCGAACAATTCGAGAATGCAGGTCGGTAATCACAGTCGGTTCCTCGTAAGGACACGAGAGGATAATCGCGTTAATACGCGACAACATTCAACAACGAGACCACGAATCGCTAATAATATGGGGCAAGTTTCCAGAAATGTATGTCAACCGGACTTCCATTCGCGACGAGCGTAATGATGTTTTCCTCATGTGATAATAATTATTATGGAATAAAGCATGCGCGTTTCCACTAATGGTTGACAGTCGGTTGGAAAATGATATAGTTAATGGACGTCCGGCCATAATTGTGGCTGTAACTAGAAAATCGATTCAAAAATGTACGTACATGCATTTGGTTTCGGAAATTCAACAATATATAGAAGAATAATTATTAGGTTGAGCGGTTTCTATGACTCCAAAGCATGATATTCTGAATTTAATTGCTCTATAACCATCAATTGCTTTTAGTCATAAATTGCACAAAGCGAGCAGTTGAACCCCGAATGGAGCGACCATAAACGCGTCACGAACTCATTCCCATTAGCATCGGGCTAGCAGTTGACCTTTCGTTAGCGATCGCTAAAAGTGCCCGCTGTTGAGGTATGGCCACCATTATATTCTTCAGGATCTCCTTGTCTGTGATCATAACTTTCAATTATCTTGGAATCACGTCTAACCTCTCGTCATTTTGATAACATCGTTGGTTCCCCTTCCCTCGTTCCTCCGGTAGAGATTCTCTTTTAGCTAGACAGGCCGGCTCAGTCATCTGCGGCAACGTGATTCCGATTTTTCACATGTACCAACCAGCCAGCTAGTCAGCTCTTCTCTTTCGTCTTCTTTTCTGTTTTTTTTTTGATTTTGCGAATTTATACGACGAACGTGATGCGAGGAAAATGCCTTCCGTGCGATGAACAAAGCCGAGTTTGATGCTTATTACTACGCGACGGATTGCGAAACCACGCGGAAGAGGAGAAATTTCTGATGTGTCACGCGATGCTTCCCTCTCACGTGTGAGGAAATCAACGACGCGTTCCTCGTTCTTAGATCCCTTCGAGCTCCTCGAGTTGAATTAATGTGAATTTTTAATCAGTTTGTCGACGTTCTTACGTATGTAATGTCGAAAGCTTCATCATTTATGTTCTTTAGTTTGTATTACAGATCATTTTTAAAATAAGAGCGCCTGAAGAGGATGTATTAAAAGTAAAATAAAAGAGTCGTGTTTCTATAAAGAAAAAATGTTAAATTAAAAAATACACTACATTTCGTGGAAATTGAATGACGTTGTAGGCGTTTGTAAGATCCTGAGGAAGTGCGACCAGATCAAGGATTAAGATTGGAGGCGGAAACGATCGCGTGGCACACGGAAACGCGTGGGATTTCGCGTCTTATCTGGCTCGGCCAATCGGTGGAAAAGGCACAGGTGTGCACGCGCCCGTTCGTATAATAAATCCTAATCGGATCACGGAAGCGCGCCGCGCCGGTGCATCTTCGAATGCAACCGGCAACCGCCAACTGCGGCGTCAGTTGCAGTTGCAACTGTTACCTTCGGAGGATCAACGACCTGATAACTAGAGGACCTGCATTCCTAACCGAGGTACTTATAATTACCCTACAATTTTCCATAATTTTCTAAGAACAATGAATTCTAAGAATAAGAATAACGTGTTTCGTTCTTTAGATTTTGTAGGACAATTGGATTAATTCTTTGATGACCGACAATGCTAAAAATGTCGAGTAATGGTCTTAGAACTTTTCGATCAGGACTTGCGAACTAGTGGTTCCACACCGAATTGTAGTTTCGACATGGCTGCTTTAAAGGCAACGGGGTGAAGTCCGCCAGGTCCAGGAATTGCCGGGAGAGTTCGGAACCGCGACAGCCAAGATTGCTACCAGGATACTCCATCAGGCTTGAGAGGCCCTCGGTGCAGATTGATGTTTATCGTGGCCGATCGAATATTGGCAAAATTACTCAGATTGCACGGTGCGGCGCGGTGTACACCTTTAGTTTCACCTTTCCAGAGAGTCTCTCTCTCTCTCTCTCTCTCTCTCTCTCTTTTTCAACGCGAATCGGCCGCTTTTTTTCTTTTTGAATTTTGAAGCTCGAGGTACATGACGCGTAAATTTCTCGTCGGCGAAACGGAGTTTAATTAGTCTAGACGACGTTGTATCGGAATTTGAGTGTTTGCGGTGAGAGTCGAGTATCGATAACTTTAGATACTATGGCCATGGACTAGGTGTACGAGTAAACGTATCAATCAATGCATTTTTCTCCAGTTTTCTGGGATTGTATGTCCCATTACAATTTTTATATCACTTAAACCGTTATCAATATATGATGCATAGCCCCTGAATTTGATATTTAGTTTCATCTTTCCATTTGACCAGACTCAGGCTCTTCAATATTGTTCTTTATTTTGGAGTATCGTTCCGTTTCATTAAAGTTGAGGGTTTGGTCGGATTTATATATTTTTCATTGAATTTGATAAGCCTTGATGATCGACTTCATCAATGATCACGAGGTTTAATTAAATCGTTCAACCCCTCGCAGTTCTGAGGGGAAATGAGGTGAAAAACTGCGATTGGACTATTAAGAACAGGGACAGAGGAATTAGAAATTGGCCCTGACCTTCGGGTAACGAGAATTCCAGTTCGCTTAAAAGGAGACTCAGAGTAACCCGAGTTGAAGGTGGGTAATTCGAGATGGGTAACAGACGTGGAAAAGGCAAACCGCAGACTGTGGAAATTCAGCCGCAGCAGAGACGTAATTCTAATCTGTGCAGCGTGATTCTAAGATCGATTTCTATTTTTTTCTAAAACCGATGACTTTGAATACGAATGGTATTACACAATTTCTAAGTTGCACACATAAATGACAACTCAATTTAATTACGAGTCCAATTTCGCAATGACTCTTCTTATTGTTTTATTATATTTATTATTCTTATGTGAATTAAATATGACGTACACTTATTCGAGTATTTAAGGACTGTTAAATGATCCTAACTCATGTTCGAACACAAATCATCGGACAATGTCCGGTCAGTAGCAGGAGGAATCATTCATAATCTCGCGTTACATCACCTCGTTTCACCAGTTCTGGTCATTGTTCGCGGTATTCCTCCCCGATAACTGAACGGGACACGAGTCCGTTTTGAACGCGCTCTTTTATCCTCGACGAGGATTTATTTGCACGAAAGAATCGATCCTTTTCACGCGGCTCGTTCGCCTGAGAACCTCTCCTCTCGTCGGAGCCGGCTTTCACATGGATTCTTTTCTCTTTTCCCTAGCCCTCCTCTTTCTCCTCGGTTCGCGCGGTTCGAGCATCGCTAATTCAGTCGCGACGAACGAATCACAAAGAGCCTCGTTGCAACGCTAGGGAAAATCGCTCGTGTTAAGCCGCCCCCTCCCCACCAGAATTCGTCAATGGAAATGAAAAATATTTTTCTTTCTTCTAGAAGTTGTTTATTACTTTCCTCTGCTAAAGTACTACTAATCAAATGAATTGCAAGACCTCACTTCATTTTTCGATTTGCAAATAACCCGAGACTGTTAAAAATATCTCGACGACTCTTGAACATACCATCTATCCAATTCACCTGATGCTTACATTTTCAATTGATTAATTTGAAGTACATTCATGCAATCATGGCTATTGACAGCCGTTGAAGATTTGTATGAAAAGCTACACATAATTAAAGAATTATACACGGTTTTTCATTGGAAATTCGTTTTGCCAATATAATAACTTCGTTGACGACGCGAGGAATCGGAAGAATAAGAAAGAGTGTGATGTGCTATTCTATTATTTTATATCGCTTTCGCATCTCGTCCGTCTCATTCATCTTCGTTTCTAATTTCTCTGCTGGAATAATGGGCAAGGGAAGTTTTGAAAGAGTACTTATTGTAATAACCAGATTTCCCGTAAAATTAAGTGGCCTATCGAGATACCGTGCACACCGAAAATAAAAACTTCTATTAAGTAGCATTAAAATTGCATGTTAAGTATCCTGCTAGCCGAGCTTAAAAGTAGTATTAAAACTGGACGCAAATAATGTCCGTCTAAAAATCTACCTCTGTGTTTTGTTTTATAGTTTCAGATGAAGTACAAAAAACAAGTAAATATAAAAGGTGCAGGACAGTTTAATATCCAATGGTGATTAGGAACTGAAAAGTATTCACGGCGTTCAAATGTTTCCGCATTTTTGACAAATATTTCCGGAAACTCTATTATCGAAGATACACAGCATAGTTGTTTTTGTTTACTAGATGCGAAGTTCTGCTATTGGAGCAAACATCGAGTTCAAATAACGCGGAAAATGTTTTCTCGTGTAGGATGCGCCTACCCTACCGTTTACTAATACTTGCCAAAAAAACTCCCTTTTCTGAACTTTTTACGATCAACACTTTTTCAATCTGCATAATAAAGCTGAATCTGTCTACAAGAAAATTTGAATGCACGGGATGCGATTCTCATATTTTTCATCTGACGGCCTCTCGTGCGTTTTTGTACTCAGGACGTAACGTAACGAGTGACGGAGGATGAGTCTCAAGCCGTGGCAAACGCGTTACATTTAATTATGAGTTCCAGCATGAGTTACGAATAAAATGCTCGCACAGTCACTCGTCGAAAATGGGAGATAACGGCATATTTCTCGACGCTATAATTTTCTAACCGACAATTTTCGCGATATCGCGTATTTTCCATTGATTTTATTTATTATTTTATAAACACCGTATAGAAAGTCCAGAATGAAATGTATATAAAATCTCCAATCCTCGTACATTATTCTCGTACTAAATTAACCAGAATTTACTGTATTTTATAAAGCTTGGATAAAACGAACGTGCAGAGAGAGAAGGGCCATAAAATTTTTAGAAAACAAAGCAGGGAAGCTCGGGACGGAATATGATTTTTCTTTTAATCACAGGAGTCGTCGCGGAAAAGTGAAAAGATCGGAAAATTTCATCGTCCCCGTTGTTTCCGCGACGCGGCCGGCTCAATTAGGCAAACGACCACAGCAAGTCCTTTCTTCCATTCCGTTTCCGAGCGCGTTCTTTCAATTTTCGGGCCGGTCAGTCGCGCCTCCGCCATTCGCGATTTTCCCATTGTGCCCCGGGGAACAATTAATGTTCCACGCCGCGGCGCGCCGGCGAGAATCGTTAACGCGATTCACAAAGAGCGCGTTCGCGTGCGACTGCGTGCGGACACGATCAATTCTACTACCACTCTCCTCGCCCGAAAGGAACAATGCTATCCCCCTCAAAACGTAATTAATCGGCCGGCGATCCTCCACCCCGCCGGTTCTCGGGAAACGTCGCGTCGCTTCCTTCCTTCCGGTTGTTGTCGGTCTAAAGGGTTAAAGGGTGTCCGGTTTGTATTCCAACAAAAAGATTAATCTCCCTTTCTCAAAAACTATAACCAAAAATTGGTGATTTCCACTTTAAATATTTCGTACAAATAACAGAAACAAATTCTATACACAGACTTTTGTCACGTTTCATTAACATTATTTTATACTGAACTATATGTATTTTATAACGTTGTGAAAATACAATGTACATCCGTTTTGAATATGAATTAAGGTAATGAAAGATTCCTTTCCCTTATGCTGATGTTAGAGAAGAATAACTTTTCGGTAATAATGAAAGGGTAAATGCAAATGAGGAGGACCCGAGGGAGCAATGTTGGTGTCAAGTGTCGCAACCCGACGCCACGGCCGACAGTTGGTTGACCGACGGGACCGGTGAAAGGTGCCCCTTCCTGTCCATGAGAAACGACCGTCGTTAGATTGTTATTAAAACAATCGTTGTTATTTATTACACGAGCGAGATCCTTGAACCGCGGAACTATCTCCCAAGGAACGATCCTCTGTCATTGTGAAACCCGATGACAGTTAAAAATGTGAATGACGAGCAACTTCTAAAGTTTAAACTAATCTAAACAATTTTGTGGACTCGGTACACAGAATTCCTTAGGTGTTTACTATACAGCATTTTAATTTTAGGAATTATGTCTAGTGCCATAAAGCTCGGAACTGAAAGAACCGCAAATAAGTAACTACTTGCTTCTCGATCCTAGCAAATTATAGCATGTCGCTCGAAATTCCAGCGTGATGATTCGTAGCTGCGTAAAGTGTGTTTCAAAACGAAAGGGACGACAATTGCATTCCGCGGCGGACAATTGATGGAACGAAACGTTCCTCGTTTGCCGTTTGTCGGATTCGAGAATAAAAAAATGCCAAGCGGGACGAACGGACGGTACCCGTTTCGTACGTGCAACGAACGTGCCGGTTTACGTTCGGCTGCACCGTCCATTCCCGCAAAACGAAATGATTTCTAACAGAAACGAGACAGATTTTTAGACGAATATTTTCCTCCCTTCGCTCTTACGAAACCGCAGTTTGTAATTGGACTAAAGAATAATGCTTTTTGTTTAAACGAGTTTTATTCAATTTCGCATCAATTTTTGTGGAACTTTCATTTACTCAAACCAATTTTCTCATGTGATTTATATAACAAATTACATAGTTATCAATCGGCAATGATTCTTTTAATTGCGAAGTTCTAAACCGCGAAATATGTATTTCGCTATGGAACGGCGAAGCGAATCGATTCCCACGCCGCTTTTCGTTGCAAGTCGCGATTAGGTTTCTCGAGAGATAGGATCGAATTTAGCCACGGAGGAGCTGCCAGTTAAGAAACGCATTGCGAAACCGACAATGGAAAACGTTGCGGTAACACCTGAAAATGGATTAACGAAAACTGACGACTTGCAGTTTGCCAGTTATTCAATCACGAAATCTCTCTGTGGAATTTTAATAAAAGGAAGAGTAACAGATTTAAACCACGGTTTACCAGACTGTTATTTACTGAGAATCGTGATTAGGAAGTAACAGAAGAGTAATAAGTGAGAAGAAAGATGATTTACTAACATGATATTATCTTATTTTGCATTATGCCAAATCAATGATTCATGAATAAAATGTCATTCTAAAAAAGTAAATAGTTTTTTAACGGTTCCATCTCTGAATATGAGTTAACATTGCGCAGAGCAATCCGAGCTGAGGCTTCCGAACCAAAAGCAGAGGCGAAGGTAATTTCCGAAGGGAGCTTCGCCGGTTTCATCCTTCGTTCCCGGGGTGAAAGAGGGATGCGCGACGGGAAATTCTAGAAATCCCGCGCAATATCGGGCCGATAGGAATTTTTCTGTGGGACCCGTATTCGAAATCGCGAAATCCTATCAAACTGGATCATCTACCTCGCCGCGAAACGTTTGAATTACCCAGCGAGATAAGCCACCGTTACGCTGATTACCATAATTCCAGAAATATGTACGTGCGTAGTTTCGCTA